CGTTCCCTTAGTACGTGTTCGGGGGTTGCGAAACGTGACATAAGCAGTGCTGGTTTCAGGAGCGCGGCGTAAAACACATTCTCTTTTACATTGACGACACTCCTATCGTCTTGTTCTCAGGATTCGGGTGGGAGCAGAGCCAGTAGGGTCTTCTGTCGAAGCACGATGGCGGTTTCAAGTCGTACTGGACGGCTGACTCCGCAGGCGCCGATACATATATGGTACCCACGATCCAGGACTTTGTCGAGATTGAGTGTTAGAGCGTGTGTTAGAGCAGAGTAAAGAGGTCTTCTATACGTAGTCCGTAGATAGATAGAAGGTAGGTAGGGGGTCGGAATATATTTGAATTCTAGCCCTCCGTAGCTTAGAGGGCCCTCCACAGCCTATATATACGTCTCTCGTAGCCCTTAGTCCCTAACCGACCCCCTGCTCGGCAGCTCCGCAGGGGAACCCTCAGGGTCCCCTGACATTGAGCCGTTCCAAGTCCGTCCCAAGGTTAGTCTCCCGTCAGAGACGTTCCGCGTTGCGCCGGGACAGACCAAGACTGTCAAGTCAGTTGACCATTTGCCCATCCCCGAAAGTCGGAAGGCAGTGTTTGTTTACGTTGTGCAGGTTCTCTTTCGGCGTTCTCGAAGGATTGAACGCTTCCCGCATTCCAGTGTTCGGCGGCAAGATTCTCATCAGCGCTAGTAACTCTGAAGCACTCTCTGTCCCTTACTTTGGCGTAGGAGCTAGCATCAAGTACGAGTTTGACGACCTGTTCTACGCGTCGATTGGTTACCTAAGAGCCGCATCCGGTGTCAACCGTACGGACATTAAGCAGAAGTCGAGGTGTGTTACAAGGTATATTTCTTAGCCAAGCCGACCATACCGATGAGGAGTAGCTTTACCTTTGACCTAAGCTTGGGCTCTCAAGACTTCGTCAAGCTGGTGCATGCCATTCAATGGGGTGCCTGAGAGCTTCGATGGGATGTACGTCATCATCAAGGGACAGATGCTCGTCTCAGAGCGAAATTCTCGCTGAAACTGCTTGCTGATGGAACGCCAGACTTTTGAATCCTCGTACCGCGAGCGCCGGTGGAAGTACCCCCCGGTTGTGGGCGAGACCAAATACGTAGGGTCTTTGGCCAGCTTTGATGTCTACAACAGCCTCAACTACCCGGTCTTCGACCCGGCTTCCAACGACGAAAATTATACATTTTCATATCCCCTGCAAAATGCGTCGCGTGACGCACCTTCAGAGTCGTGGTGGCTCGGCAGTTTGGCCAACGGATCAACAATCGCCTCGGGCAAGCACAAGCAAGTTTCGGCTTGCACTTGAGAGATCACCATATGGAGTATAGTGGGCTGCCGAGACGCAGTGCTCGGTGGGTGTCATACCGAGATTGACCTTCTGTATAGGATGCTGGCGCCTTTCGGCAACCCCAAGGCTTCGGATAACCGGCACGTTTGAGACGCCCTGAGATTGAAGTGCTCTAAGTCAAATCAGGTGTCCATCAGTAGGCCTGGTACACAGCGGTATTTATAACAAATCTTTGGGGTAAGGAGTGTCAAGGACCCAGCAGATGAAGGAGTCGCATGCAATAGCCGTGTTGCTTAATGGTCGCGCTTGAACGTTGATTGTCAACGAATGGCAGTAGAAACATAGCATGCCTCTTGAATTGCAAAATAGACATATTGTATGGCGCAAGACGTTTGTTCGGGCCCATCCTAACCGTAATTGACATCGAGTAGGTCCTCCGTTCGGTGCTAGGATTCGAGCTGGCGGCCATCCATAACCCGAGAGAAAATCTGAAAGAAAAGAAAGTTAGAAACAGCAGTAATCCATGTTCTTTACTGAGTCTCGTGAAATTGTTAACGACCCTGAATCTAGAATTTCATATCTTCATCCTCAGATCGGCGAGCCTGGGCCCTTACAGCCCCTGAGCGGTGGACCCACAAAAGGGGGGCGCACACTCCGGCCACCGGCCCATCTCCCGGAACACCTCCGGCCTATCCAGACTCTTCGCCTCGAGGAATACGAGTCCCTCTAGACACTCTCGACCACGGTCCGGCAGCTGTCCCATCATGCCGCCGGAGTTTCGGGCCAGCTTGGGTGCAAATGGACTTCGGGGTGCTTCTGCGGATCTGGATGACTGCTGACAAAGTGCTGTTCCAACATCTGGAGTACTTGAGTCTTCGATTGGGCATTCTGCTCCTGTCTAACATGTCTTTCGAATATTTGCGTCAATATATTGATGCTATTCGAAAGTGAACGGAATGGCTCCCGCAGCAACAGCAACCAAGGATATGGACCTTCGATCTGGGTTGAAGAGAGGACCGCCGAAGGGCAGCTGGTCTAACGACATCAAGATTGAAGAGATGCCCTCCGTAGGAAAAGTCCCAGCTTTTACTGAGTAGTATTGGTGCTAAAGACGTATAGAAGAAAAACAAGACCTCGCCCACGCAGCCGCAGCGGACTGGGCTGGCAACACCCTCCTCGCCGCAACTCACCGACGCGAGCGCCCCGAGCGATGACCTCGCTTCACTGCTCTACTCTCCCCAGGTAACCGCAAAGATCTGGGGCATCGCCCAGCAGGGCTTCAACTCAGTACGTGTCTCCCGTCATCATGTCCCTCAGCGCTCCTTGTACTGACACCTGTCCTCGCAGCCAAACCCTCCAACCCTCTTTCCCGAATACACCAAGCCAGGCGGCACCAAATATGTCTACCGCGAATTAGACTTCTGGACCAGTGGCTTCTTCCCTGGATCCCTCTACCTGCTCCTCGAGCGCCAACAGAAATACGGCCACCGGGTTCGTACCCTCCTCTCTGGTGCCGGCGGGTCCGCAGACCAACAGGACCCCGAACCACACCCATTGCAGCTCGAGTTCGCGTGCAAATGGTGGACCGAGTCTCTCCACACCAACGCCCTCCTCACCAACACGCACGACCTCGGCTTCATGATATGCCCCTGGGCCCGGCCGGCCTGGGACCTCCGCCGTGACGCCCGCGCCTACGAGACGACCCTGACGGCGGCGCGGTCCCTCTACAGCCGCTACGATATCAGAGTCGGCAGCCTGCGATCCTGGGACGTCTGCATCACGAAGCGCTACTCGTTCCTGACGCCCAACGACGGCATCCTCGTCATCATCGACAACATGATGAACCTCGACCTGCTCTTCTGGGCTGCCGCTCAGCTCGGTGACGCCGCCATGCACGCCGCCGCGGTCCAGCACGCACGCACAACACGCAAGTACCACGTCCGCGAGGACTCGTCGACATGCCACGTCGTCGTCTTTGAGCCCGACACAGGCGCGTTCCGCGCGCGCATCACCAACCAGGGCCACGCGGATGGGTCGGCGTGGACTCGTGGGCAAGCGTGGGCTATTGCTGGCTTCGCGCAGACGTACGGATGGACCCGTGAGGTTGAGTTTCTGGACACGGCTGCCGCGTGCGCAGAGTACTTCCTGGCCGAGCTGCCTGTGAGTCGTATCCCGCCTTGGGATTTCAGGGCACCGGGGGAGGGCCCGCAGCCTACGGACACAAGCGCTGCTGTGATTGCTGCGTATGGCCTTTTGCTGATCCATGAGGCTTTCGTTGCCCTGGGGAAGGAATCAGGGTATCTGGAGCATGCGTTAAGCATCGTGCGTGCAGTGACGAGTAAGCATATAAATGGGCCAAGCGCCTATCGCAGGGCGAACAGGAAGATTCAAACAGTGGAACAGGGCGAAGTAACTGAGACTGTAGGGATCGAAGTTGAAATAGGGGCAGAGTGCGAAACGATCCTGGGAGGCGCCACGATCAACAACTACGAGTTTGCGCCGCGACGTTGGGCAAACCACGGGTTGGTCTATGCGGATTACTATTTCTTGCTGTTCGGCAACAAATTGTTGGAGATGGGGCTGGACGTGAAGTTGATGGGCGGTGTCTAGATCATTTGCTGACCTCAGGTTGGGTCAATTTGGTTTGAATAATGTAGATTCAATTATCCATCTGCGACGACGTCCTGATCTTACATGTCGTGCTCATTCTTGTGGGTTCTTCTCTGTCAGCCCGGAAAAGACGCTAATCCTCTGTGCAGGAAGAAAAGAGTAGTCAAGATATGTGCTGAGGTCCCCGAACTCTTCCATGGATGAAGGCCCCACGCCATTGACGGGGGCACCATTTTCAAATCGATGGCTCGTTGGAAGTGCGTTTCCTGCTACTGGCGATGCCGCCGCGGTGGGGCCTCTGCTTCCCTGTTGATTGTAGAAGGAGACAGGCAATGGAGGAAAAGCGAGGGAAATACTGTCCGGTGAAGCGTCCTGGTCGTAGTCATTTATTGCCTGGTATGGCCCAAATCCGTCCTGGTTCTCCATATTGGGTTGTCCAATTACCATGCTATGCGACATGTTGGGCATGGCGGTGCGGACATCGGGTGTAGGGTCTCCCTCAGGTTTTGTCTCGTCGAAATAAACGGAATGGCTGAGATCAAGCATACCATGACCTTGTTCTCGAGCCCGTACGAGGCGCCGTGCGAATTTTGAAGCCAGGTTATCTACTTGGTCGCCCGGCCCATTCCATCTTTTCGACATTTCCTGGAGGCTGTAGACCAGTGAATCAAACCCTTGAGGCAAGGGAACGCTATAGTATATCGCATGGGCAAGGAACATGCGTCCGCAAATGAACAGGCAGAATGCAAACTGAGGGTTCGTAAGTGCCGTCGATCCTTGCAAGAACTTCTCTGCAATGATTGCCACCTCTGTTGCTGCTGCCAGACATGTCTCTGAGCTGGATGCGGACGGGAGTCTGAGGCCACTCGTTTGCCAATCCGGGGCCGGATACGCGATGCCCTGATGAAGAAGCACCACAGCCGTATTGTGTGATATGTGCGCAAGAGTTAGGTTGGGGTCAAGAATACCATCGCAATTGAGTGCGCAGGCCTCTCGCCATTGTTCTGGAAGGAAGATCTTCCATCTGTGTCCCAGTCAGTTGGGCTATTCATGCTCGTCAACGTCCAGGAGCTCCCGAAAGGTTGACCTACTGAACAAGGCGCAAGTCAAGCTGCTTGAACTTGAGCAGCCACATCTGCACCTCTTGTGGCTTTGTCACATCGACTGCTTGTTGTAGAAAGAATGATGTGACGAGGCTCAAGCTCTCTGTTGCCTCGATACAGTAAGCAAACCCTCCTATCGAATCCTGGGCTTCGCCTTCGGGGCGAGCAGCTGGTAATGGCCCATTTGTACCACTTGAAGGGTCGGCAACTCCGAAATACGGTGTTGGTGTCTGCAGAGGATGGCCTGCTTCCCAAAGTGCGCCCTCACATGGAAGCCTTCTCTTGACGTCGGCACTTGTTAAGGAGAAGTTCCAGCCGGTTGCGATGCTACAAAAGCGGTCCAGAAGAAATGTATTCCAGAAGACACGCCGTCGTTCCTCCAGTTCGACCCAAGTCTTGCATGGCTTCAGAAACGCAATTCGTTTAATCAATGCTCTCGCGGGCGGTGTTTGATCTTCTTCGACACTGAGTTGGAGTTGTTCTACTGTTCGTGTCATGCTGCCAACGATAGACTGAGTTTCTTGTTAGCGAGAGCCCGAGAGGAAAGCGCGAGGCAAACAAACCCAAGCTGATGGACCACGTCCGCTTCCAATCTGAACTTGTGTCAGTACTCAGTCATTTGATATTGGGACAGAACAGCCAGCTAACCGTATCGAAAGCGCAGATGATGAGTGCTTGTAGGTTCTCTACAGAAAACGACTCCATGCTCTCCACAATGACGGCCTGTCGGTATCTCTTGGTCATTTGCGCCTTTGTTTCCGGCGAACCGAGACGTGCATCATCTGAAAACCGAGCACAAGTCGAAACAATGGCCTGGAAAATGTTTCGCAGCCGAGGGCGCTCAGCAGCGTCAGCCATGCGCTCCCTAAATTCACGAACATGAAGCATGGGTATCCAGGGGTGCAGGTTCGCGAAATAGATATCAACCAGGGAATCCACCAGATCTGTTGGAGGCAACGAAGCGGAGTCCTGGTATGGGAGGGCCAAACAGCGCTTGCAGGCGTCGCCGCTGGGTCGCGTTGGGCGAGTGTCTGTGTTCTGGAGGAATTCTGGCCACTGTGACGAATCGAGCTCAGCAGATCTGGCGACAGGGCCGGACTCTGCCAGGGTAGACAGTGTCGATTTCAAATGTGAGGCGCATTCCTGGAGCGACAAGCCAGAATCTTTGGACGATCGACCTGGGCTCGAATCTTCTTGGCTGGTGAGCGAGCTAAGCTGGTTGAAAACCTGCTGCCAGAGAACTCCCTGGCCGAGAAACATGGATTCCAACGTGGCGACGCGTTGGCTGAGGTTCTCAACGGCGCCAGTCCTCAGGCCCGGCTTGTTCTTTCGGTCATCGTAGAGGCACTCAACGTCTGAGATTCACGTCAGATGCGAGACTTTGCGATGCTCCGAGATGGTGAGCAAGGAGCACGATGGCAGGGCAAGGTCATACTATAACGAACACAGGCGGAACAAGGCTGACGCCTAGTGCACTTGGCCTTCTTTCTGCGACACGATTGACATGCAGGCCCGTCGGGATCAGCAGCTTCAGTGAGCGCCGTGTCGTGGCGTCTCTTTTTGGCTGGCCTCGAGGAAACAAAGTCCTCTCCGGCCGAGTTGGAATTTGGCTCATCGTCCTCCACGGCAGCCATATGTGACATTGGCGTTGTGGGCGGCACGGAAAGGGAACAAACAAAGTTGACAATCGAACAGGTAATTGAGCAAAGGAGACGCGACGGAGCGAGATAGAGAAGCGTGGTGTTGAAGGAAAGTTAACGCATGGCTAGGATGCTTCCTTCCTCCCGACCATGTCATGTCACTCTGGCAGTTGACAACCAAATTGGTACTGGCGCACAAGGAAGAGTGAAAGTGGTGGAAGGTGCGATTATTTGCCGTGTTTGGGGCAAGCAACGGCCGGGAGGGCCATCAGGCTGGGCAGCTGCCACCCACTAACGAATGGCTATTGGGGGATGATTGGCTCTAGTAGCAGTGGGCAGGCAAACCCCTGGCTACAACTGCGGGGGAGGTGCGGAGTGCATTACATGGTATGTCCTTGCCCCAAGCACACCCTGGAGCTGGGCGTGTCATCGCTCAGTGTGCCATCAACAGCCATTCCCCCAAGCCGAACATCATCCATGAATTGGATTTCCCCAGATCAGCTTGACATTGGATCGCGCCCATCAGTTATGATGTGAGAGAACTCTCAGCACCCCAGATTCTTCTCCCCCCGAAACATCCCCCGCATCCCCAGAAATCTCCGCCATCGCTCCACGTCTCAGGCCACAAGTACCACCTCCGGCCGCCGGGTGAAGTCCCGGACACATCTCCGAACATCATCAACCCTGGTTAAGCTTCAGAGCAACCTCCCTTCCCCTCCTTCTCAGCGCGCCATGCACGACCGTGCACATGGCCATCATCCTTGCTCGGTCTGTAGGCTCGGCTCTTCGTTCCATCGTCAGGACCGATGTCCGTACTATACCGTTCCACGAGGTATGCGTTGGGAGGTCATTACCGTGAGTAGTTGCGAAAATATAGAAGGAAGCCTCTGGAACGATCTTCCTCGTCTCAATGCGTTAGGATCGGATCATCGGCATCACTCTTAGAGCATCTCTTCGCTTATTTTCGGTACACAAACCCGGAAACTTAGGCGCACATAACCGCTCTGCCCTTTGAACAGCCAAATCCTCGCCATGGCCGACACCAAGTCTGACTTTGCTCCAACCGCCGCTCGACGGGAGGCTGACGAGAACTCCATCACCCCAGCCCCGCTTTCTTCGCAGCATCTCGATAGCCATCATGCTGACCAGGACCAAGAGGTGAGCTCCATACCCCATGACGAGCTGATTCTGGACGAACCACGCTGATCTGGTAGACCGCGGCGTACGCTGGCGGTGAAGCCATTTATATCGACGAAAAGACGAACAAGAAGTTGTTCTGGACCGTCAACAGACGCATTCTCGTCTGCATGCTTGGCACCTATTTTTGCCAGTCTCTTGACAAAGGCACCTTGGGCTTCGCCTCCATCATGGGCATTCGGCAAGATGCGAACCTCCACGGCCAGCAGTTCAGTTGGCTCGGCACTATACTCTATATGGGTGTCCTGTTCGGTGAATACCCGACCAACCTCCTTCTTCAGAAGCTTCCCGTGGCCAAGTACCTTTCAGTCAATATCTTTTGCTGGGGTGTCGTCATTGCTTGCTCTGCTGCTGCGGAGAACTTTGGCTCACTGATGGCGGTCCGATTCTTGCTTGGTATGTTCGAATCGTGCGTGCAGCCAGCCTTCATCATCATGACAGCTATGTGGTGGCGACGCGAAGAGCAAGCCGTCCTGACTTCGCTCTGGTACTGCATGACCGGTGTTCAGCTCATGGTCGGTGGCCTCATTGCCTATGGTGCCAGTCACTACGATGGAGCCGTCATGAGGTCGTGGCAGATGCTCTTCATGGTTCTGGGAATCGCCACCTGTGTCTGGGCAGTTTTTGTCGGCTGGTTTCTACCCGATTCGCCCATGAAGGCAAAGTGCTTCGACGAAGACACAAAGAGGCTGCTCATTGAGCGCGTCCGCGCGAACGAGACGGGCATTCAGAACAAGACCTATAAACGCCACCAAGTCATTGAGGCTGTCTCTGACCCTGTCACTTGGTGCTACGTCCTGCTTCAGGTTACTTCGACTCTAATTATTGGTGGTCTTGGTGTCTTCTCCAACCTAATCATTAGTGGATTTGGCTTCACCGTGTTTGAGACTCAGTTGCTCAACATTGCCCAGGGTGCCATCACCATCATCATCATGATTTCTGCCGCTTTTACTGCGCAGCGCACTCAACAGACTGCATATACCATGCATGTGAGTTAACCCGAAATCCTCACGTCATGCTTTCAAGTAACAATTTCCAGGCTTGGTCGTTCCCCGCCATCATCGGCACGGCTGTCATATACAGCATTGTCCCAACGTCCTCGAATCGCGTCGGTCTCCTGATTGCCTTCTACTGCACTCAGTTCTTCCTCGCCGAGGGCAATCTGGTCTTTTCCCTCATTTCGCGCAACGTCGCCGGCCGTACGTAAAATCGTTTGAATTTACCACACCGCCTCAATTAACATTTCACCAGAGTCCAAGAAGTCTACCACACTCACCATGTGCTTCATCGGCTGGGCAGCTGGCAACATGACTGCCCCCCAGATCTTCCAAGCATGGGACGCGCCCCGGTATCGTACCGGTTTCACTGTCCACTTCTGCCTCTATGCAATCTTCAACGTCATTCTTGTTGTTATGCGTTTCCTACTTACCCGCCGCAACAAGGGTAAGCGTGCCGCCGTTGCTACCGCTGGCGAAGCCGAAACATTGCAGAAGGCTGGTGAGGAGAAGATTACGCACAGCAACGCTTTCGCGGATCTCACAGACAAGGAGAACCCCGATTTCCGCTATGTCTTCTAGATCTGCACGAGACCTTTCAGGCTATTTTTAAGGCGGTGTATCGATCGGGTCTAATGTATTCCTCCTGCAGAAGTGGATACAGGAGTGTCTTATCCATACCGCGCCGGAGCGTCCTACAGCTAAGAAAAGTCAAGATTTTCCAATACATTGGTTCAAGCATGTTCGGCCTCAGGTCAATTGTAATTTTCTGCAACTTTCCTAGGCCTTTCCCCCACATGCAATGGAAACACATGATACGTCCTTGTAGCTTACATGCGGCAGCTGGTTGGTTCAGCAGGGAATGGCCTACAAGCTGTAAGTTTCAGATGTCAGTGGGATGGGCCTGAACATATACACAGGTTCAACTATCAAGTGGCACATGATTTCTCTCTATTGTATCCTTTAAATGCTTGGAGGCATCTGTATAGCACTTGGAAACAAGCAGCTCAGGGTACAAATATAGGAGTAAAATGCCAATGAGGCAGATAGACAGGGCCGAGCATCGAGTGTTTCCTATCCTATATATAGCAATTGACGGCAGACACTAAGTACTAAGGGCAGCTTTATGATGCTTTTCAACTCACTTTAGCAAAGTCTATAACTTTTAAAAGGTTAATAGTGATGTTTCGAAACAATCAAATGGAACCCTTGACTAAAGAACGGTATGTATTCAGCCGCAACCAAGAGCCCTCTGCATGATATCTGCAACGATGGATCAAATGGCCGTGATGATAAACCCCCATATGTATGCATCTCATGACGTGAATCCCACACTTTGCTTTATCAAGCATATTCCAACCACAATCTATTATTGCAAAAATCCCTGCCTACTCAAGTTTTGGTGTACATGATTCATGGCTATTTGCAGAGTATCAGCTATCGACGAGCACGAGAAGGATGAGCTCCAGTTATAGCTCCTCGTCTCAGCAGTACGGCAGCGCGGGGTTCGAACAACTCCCCGCAATGAACCTCTGCGGTGCCCTGGCAATATCCCCCTCGTACACCTGCGCCGAGGGATCCAGGATTCGATCAATAATATGCACGACGCCCTTCTCGTTGGGATCGATTAGCAAAACTTGTTCCAAGAGGCCCACGATCTGGTTAATTCCTACCCTTTCCACTGCTAGGTCAGACTCGGTGACCTTGGAAACGCCATTCAACGTTAGAGTTCCGCCGACGACCTGCGTGCCGATGAAGAGGTACGTTCCCGTCTGCAAGCGCGTCTTCGTCGTGTTGAAGATCGAGCTGGCGACCTTTGTGTTGGGAATGTAGTGGTGCTGCAGGAGGTTGCCGAGCCACCATTTTCCCTTGGCCGTCGCGGCGTAGGTGTCGAAATATTGGCCGGTATTGTTGAAAGCCTCGTTCGAAGGGGCGAAGAAGGTAAAGTCCCAGCCAGGAACGGTGTCGAATGCCGTCGTGAAGCCTTGGTGGGGTGAGTATAGACATAGTTGGGGGAGGTGGTGTGCTCAACTCACCGGCTGGTTCTTTCAAGAGTTTGGCCAGTGTTGTGAGATCTGATCGGGAGTTGATAAAGTCAAGGAGTGTTGTCTTTCCCTGAACCTTGGGGACGGTCCATGTTCCCTCCGGCGTCGGAGCGTAGGCGAGTTGCTTTCGATCCACTACTTCGGCGCTGCACACGGCGCCGAACAGAGATGAAATAATCACGTTGGAGGGACGCATCCTATGGCTTCGATAAAGAGGCGAGGGGAAAAGGGATTCGAATATATAGATCTCAATGGCTGGCAGACTCAAGTTGCTGCAGAGCGGTTGGCTGGAAAATATAGCTGTTTAGGAAGTGATATATGGGACACCACCCTGGAGTAAACCTCAGACTGTCTGCAAAAACAAGGTGTAGGCTCTGATACCCAATCTAACCCCCATGAGATCTTGCGGCGGCCCGTTTCACGGAGAGGGATCTAGTTAAGCTTCAGGGCACGCACACCTTTTCCATGTCATTAGGAATATTATGAGGGGCGATGTCGCTTAAAGAAGGAACATGCCGCGTCGATCTATCATTCGGGGCCCGTCCGGGACTTACCCCGGGCTCATCGCGGGGTCAAATCGAGAATCCGGGGCAGAGTAGGGGAGTCCAGATGTGGGGAAAGGGACAAATGATGCGGTACCATCCATCCGGTCAATTGACCAGTCATACATGGGATGGAAGCCGCATGTACAGCTGGCTTGTATAAGACCTTAGTGGACTTTGAACAAGGAGAAAATGGGTTCAAAGTCCACTCGGCAGCCAGCGCAATTTCTCACGATCACCATGCTCTGGTTCTACGCTCTCGCAACAGTCGCTCCCGTTTTCGGGCTGACCGGTCCTTTCAAGAGAGCCCAAAGGCCACAAATGGGTACGTGCAAACCTCATCCCTCCGTGTACGAAACTTTACTCATTTTTGGGCAGGGTGGAACTCGTGGAATACCTTCAAGCTCGGAATCAACCAGACAATTGTCGAAGGAACCGCGCAAGCTTTAGTGGATACTGGACTTCGTGATGCCGGCTACACGTACCTAGTCATGGATGATGGCTGGCAAAATCTTACCAGAGGTCCGGATGGGAGACAACAAGCCAACGCCACGCGCTTTCCCTCCGGGCTCAAGGTACTTGCCGATGAGCTCCACGAGAAGGGTCTTAAGTTTGGCTTATACAGGTAGATCAAGATCCACTAGCTGAACAGAAGCCTTTTGCTAATTCATGCCAGTGATGCCGGAATATTCGGTTGTGGTTTCCAACCAGGCAGTCTGGGTTATGAAGAACTCGACGCCCAAACGTACGCAGACTGGGGTATGGATTATTTGAAGGTAAGCTTGGTCTCCTCAGTCAGAAGCGTCAACTAATCAGACAGTACGATAACTGCGGAGGATTCTACGGCAACACCCGACCAGTCCAGGAGCGCTTTCAAATCATGTCCCGAGCTTTGAAGAACACAGGTCGCGACATCTTCTACGCTGTTTGCCAATGGGGCCACCAGTGGCCCTGGTACTGGGCCGACCAGTTCACTGATTCTTACAGAATGTCTGGGGACATCCACGCCAAGTTTCGCGATGATGGGAACTCCGTCTGCAAAACTGCCTACTGTCTCAACACTGGCTACGCTGGGGTTAGTGTTCTGACCATGATCCGCAAGATGCGCGAGATCTCTGGTTTCCAGAAGAAGGGCTCCTGGGGTACGTCTTGTATTCGAAAGATTGCTGGGGATGACGGAGAGCTAACCCAGAGTAAGCTGATATGGACATGCTCGAGGTCGGCGTCAACCGCAACTTCACACTCCACCAGGATCAGACCCACCTAAGCTTCTGGGCAGCCTTGAAGAGCCCTCTCATCATTGGTGCGGACATCACAACAATCAGAAGATCTTCTCTTGATGTGTTATTGAAGAAAGAGATCATTGGAATCAACCAAGATGACCTCGGGGTAGCTGTCTCTTACGTAGCTGAACTCTCCAAAGAGGACGAAATCCAGGTCTGGGCTGGACCTGTGAAGTACAAAAGGTACAACCATGTTGCGCTTGCTCTGAATTACAACGTGGTGAACCACACTGCTGATATTGAGCTGCCATGGTCGAAACTCCTCGGGTTCCAGGGCTGCAAAAACGGTAATGTCCGTGTCAGAGATGTTTGGGAGGATAAAGATCTCGTATCTGGGAAAGAAAGTATCACCCTCCAGGAGGTGGTACAGGACCAAACCAAGGTGTTGCTGCTTTCTTGCTAGTAAAGGAAATAATTCAGTCAGAATATCACTTCAAGTACAGCCTATCTTGCTCGTCTCGAAACGACTCTTCCAGGCCGCTTTCTGCATATGGAAATCATGGGAGGCTCGCCACGATTGTCTCATTCGCAAAACCTCACGTGGGGGAATTCGGAGAAATCATGCAATTTCGCCCTTTTCGCATGAAAGAGAAAACGGTATCCGGTACAAAGGATTCTCGGACGGACCCGATGGATGGCCAGGGCGGTATGCCTAAATGCAAGCGAGCCGACGTCGATCTGCCGAGAAGAACCTATCCAATGAGGCGTGACAACCTGTTGTCAAAGGATTGTGTTCCGCTTCCTAGGCGTCTACACTGCGTGGTGATTACCCTTTTCTCGATTGGTCACCCATGTCGCCTAATGCAAGGTTAAGCATCCATCACCTGCTCTTTTGGACTAGACCCCCGATATCCATCGCTTTCTGAATCTTGGCGAAGGAAGCGGCCTTGGCATCACCGTGCTTGCATTTTTTTCAAATATGCCAAGATTGCCACAGCAGCTCCAGATTGGTGAGGGAGAACAAACCCGCACGGAATGACTTGACTGCAACCTTCACGTGCAGGCGGGTAGTCTCAGGAACTCCGGGTAGGATCGTGGCTACTGGTTCGTCTAGCTTCATCGGGCAACCCTTCCGCCCGAACTGACATATTCTTAGACGGGAGCCGCTCGATGTCGGGCTGGACCACGACTCTCGCTAGAGCTCACGTATGAGACTCATGCCACAATTACTTTGTCTTGACGCTGAGGTCGTTGGCGCACTATCGTGATTGGTGGAAGAGAATACGTACTCAAGAGTCGAGACTGTATGGGCTGACAGGCCTATGATCCTTCAACATATCGAAGTCCTCAAGACCGAGTCGACATGGACCTACAGGTGATGATATAAATACGCGCCCAGGTCGTGGGCTTTTGTCAGTATCGGACTCTGCATCTCGATCTCATCATTCGGCTCTCATCTTGAGTTCAGTCTATCACAAAATAGTTGATCACCCTTTTGAAAGCCAAGATGCTTCGTTCTGTTGCACTCAGCATGGCGGTCCTGGTCTCCCAGGCCGCAGCTCACGGATACCTCAGTACTTTCTATCTGAGCGGCAACAACTATGAAGGTTACAACTACTGGCAGGTCGACAAGGCCCCGAATGCCATTGGCTGGTCTTTCACGACCCAAAATGAGGGCCCTGAGATGGACATCTCCAGCCCCGACTTTGTCTGCCGCCGCGGCTCGCAACCCTCCAAGAACTACGCCAAGATTGATGCGGGCAGCCCTATTGAGTTCCGGTGGACCTCCGACGACAAGGTCATCAACCCAAACGGCTGGGCTGAGAGCCACCGCGGTTCCGTCATCACCTACATCGCCCCTTGCAACGGCGACTGCACCAGGGTCGACAAGACCGCGCTACGCTGGACCAAGATCCAGGAGGCTGGCCTCATCTCCGGTCCCGCCAACACGCAGGGCATCTGGGCGACTGACCTCCTGCGCACCTACGACGGCTGGAGCCTGGCCACCATTCCTGCCTCCATTGCCTCGGGCAGATACGTTGTTCGTCACGAGCTCATTGCCTGTGGTGGTTTGTTATTAGATT